CTACAATCAAGGCTTAACTACAACAAGACTGTGCACAAAGCCCACAAAGGGGTGCACCAAGAGTGTCCACCTCAGGTAATTGGGGAGGCTGAGCCACTGGGCCCTATAGGACACCTAGCACAGAAAGCCACACTATCAACACAGGGGAGCATAAAAATGCGGAGACAAAGAAACAGATCACAAATGAAAGAAATAGAGGGAAGCAAACTACTGGATATAGAGTTAAAAACCACCATTGTAAGGTTTTTCAAGAATTTTCTACAAACCGCCGATAAATTTAGTGAGACCCTCAATAAATCTAGTGAGACCCTCGAGGATATGAAAAAGGACCAAATAGAAATTAAGCATACACTGACTGAAATAAAGAATATTATACAGAGATCCAACAGCAGACTAGAGGATCGCAAGAATCAAGTTAAAGATTTGAAATATGAAGAAGTAAAAAACACCCAACCGGAAAAGCAAAAAGAAAAAAGAATCCAAAAATATGAAGATAGTGTAAGGGACAACTTCAGGCGAACCAACATCCGAATTATAGGGGTGCCAGAAGAAGAGAGAGAGCAAGATATTGAAAACCTATTTGAAGAAATAATGACAGAAAACTTCCCCTACCTGGTGAAAGAAATAGACTTACAAGTCCAGGAAGTGCAGAGAACCCCAAACAAAAGGAATCCAAAGAGGACCACACCAAGACACATCATAATTAAAATGCCAAGAGCAAAAGACAAAGAGAGAATCTTAAAAGCAGCAAGAGAAAAACAGTTAGTTACCTACAAGGGAGTACCCATAAGATTGTCAGATGATTTCTCAACAGAAACTGTGCAGGCCAGAAGGGAGTGGCAAGAAATATTCAAAGTGATGAATACCAAGAACCTACAACCAAGATTACTTTATCCAGCAAAGCTATCATTCAGAATTGAAGGTCAGATAAAGAGCTTCACAGATAAGAAAAAGCTAAAGGAGTTCATCACCACCAAACCAGTATTATATGAAATGCTGAAAGGTATTCTTTAAGAAGAGGAAGAAGAAAAAGGTAAAGATACAAATTAGGAACAACAAGTACATACTATCAACAAGTGAATCTAAAAATCAAGTGAATAAAAAATCTGATGAACAGAATAAACTGGTGAATATAATAGAATCAGGGGCATAGAAAGGGAGTGGACTGACAATTCTCGGGGGGAAAGGGGTGTGGGAGTGCAGGAAGACACTGGACAAAAATTGTATACCTATGGATGAGGACATTGGGGGGGTGAGGGCAGAGGGTGGGGTGGGAACCGGGTGGAGGGGAGCTATGGGGGAAAAAAAAGGAACAACTGTAATAATCTGAACAATAAAGATTTAATTAAAAAATAAATAAAAAGGAAAAATATTATTGATTTCACAAATCTACACACTGGCGGGAGACTATCCTTAACCCCTGGCTTAAAAATTTTAGAAATTTTTATAAAAGGGATACCCTATGAGCAATTAATTAAACAGCCAGCAAGAATTCATGAAAAACAAATGTTAACTTAAACCAGCAGTCAATTTCAGACCTCAGGTTACTGCTGTGCCACGCGCATGGACAGTCCCTGAAGCACAGTGCTCACAGGACTGACTCACTGAAGGAAAGAATGCGGACTCCAATCCTCTTTCCAAAGTGTTACTACTGACAAAGAGTTAATGTGAAAGCAATTTGTATATCACAAAACATTCTGAAGTGCTTTAATAACAGCATCCTTGACTGTAAGCTGGCAGGCCTATCTGGTGCAGAGATGTGGAAGTCATTCCTTTGGTCATTCAACAGATATTTACCGAATCCTTCTATATGGCAGTTCACAAAATAGACTACATTTATGTCTTCATGGAGCTCACATGCCAAGTGGGGGAGATGGCCAGTAAAGATATTAATAAAAAATGTATGTCAGATAGTGAAAACCACTGTGGAGAAGCTGAAATGGAGGCACGAGGGGGAGGGGACCTGGCGGGAGTCCAAGGACAGCCACCTGAAAATGAGGCTGCACACAGGAAGGAGCCATGCAGATGTCTGGAAAACAGTCATAATATTCTTATGGACAAAATGAGGACATATGGGTGCATATCAGTGCTTTTAGGGTTACTCCAAACAAACAAGGATTATTCTCCAGCAGTGCTGACTGACAGGGACCTGAGGGAGTTCTTAGCGCTGCGTAGTGCAGCTCTGATCCGAGCTCTGCACCGTTAACATTAATCATGACTCGACACAAAAAACTGGCTAATTAAATTTTAGGATGACACAAAGCTGGGAAAGAAATTGCAACCCTTGGAATACAGAAACAGCTTTCAGAAAGGTCTTCAAGGGCAAAGTGATCACTCAGGCTTAACAAGACAAAGCTCTGATGTCCAGAATGTACTCTGTAGAGCACACAATAAGGAGATGTGGCTCAAGCGATAATACATGAAAGAAAGAACTTCTCCGGGCTTTCTGTTGACACTGACCCCAACCTGAGTGTGGTGATATGGCTGCTCCCCCAAAACTAATAAATTATTAAGGAACTGTTAAGTAACGTTTTTAGGACTAGGGTAAAGGACACTTCCCTCCAATTCTACAATGGCCAGATCACATGGAGAGTATTTTGTTCAGTTCTGAGAATCAAAATTTAAGAGTGATTGAAATACAGATTCATCTAGATAGCACCTGGGATTAAATCCAGGTCAGAAGGAAACTGGTTGAAGAGCCAGGGGTGGTAGCTGGGAGTCTGGGGGCAGGCGGTAGCCATCTTCAAATAGGGAAAGGGCTCCTGTGGAGGCAGAACTGGAGCCCGGGGGCAGAAGCAGCAGGGGAGGAGTTTTGGTTGATCACCTAAGAAAATGTCAGTCATTCCAGGGTGGATGCTGAGACTCCCCCGTCATCCGATAACTGCCCTGGGGGCCAGGGATGGCTGCAGTGAGGCCGCAGGGGGCTGGCGTAGGGCTCCCTAACTGATGTCATCGACTAGTCTCTCTTTCTAGCAAGGCTGAGGAAGAGGAAGTGCTGTCAGTAAAGGTTTATTTTTTTCACTTAAATTTTCTTACATTTTTTTGTACTAATTTTTCTATTGTTCCAATTTCCCTATTAGTTACTTGTTTGAACATTTTTTGATATTTACAATAATCTTCAATTATATATATTATTGTAAGAAAGGTAGCAAAATCCTATTTAATAAAGAGTTACTATGCAAATTGACCATCACTTCAACACACAAGATGGCCACCCCACATGTGGACACAAGATGGCCGGCAGGGGAGGGCAGTTGTGGGCAATCAGGCCAGCAGGGGAGGACAGTTGGGAGCAACCAGGCCGGCAGAGGAGGGCAGTTGGGGGGGACCAGCCCTGCAGGGGAGGGCAGTTAGGGTGACCAGGCCAGAAGAGGAGGGCAGGTGGATATCCCTCAAGGGGTCCCAGATTGGAGAGGGTACAGGCTGGGCTGAGGGACAAACCCCCTGCATGAATTTCGTGCACCGGGCCTCTAGTATTATATAAAAAAAGAGCCACATTTAGTATTAAGAAGGTAACTGAAATTACTACATCTGCTGTCTTTAGATGCCTTCATCTTTTCCGTTATACAAAATTAATTCAAAGTAAAAACAAATTAACTCAAAAGCATAAAATGATACAACTTTTAGAAGATAACCTAGAAGAAAATCTCCAATACCTATGTTTACTGAAGAGCGCTTAGTCATAACAGCGAAAGTATGATCCTAAAAGAAAAACATGGCAAGTTAAACTTCATCAAATGAAAGATTTTGCTTTGTGAAAGACCCTGTTTAAGGAATGAAAAGAATAAGCTATGGACCGGGAGAAAATATTTGCAAACTACGTATCTGATGAAGGACTCATATCAAGAAAACAGATATAACTCTCAAAACTGACAGTAAAGAAAACCTCAAAAATCCCATTAGAAAATGGCTTCAGACATAGACATTTCCCTGAAAAGGTACATAGATGACACATAGCACATGAGAGGGTGTTCATCATTAGCTATTAAGAAGATGCAAATTAAGACCACAAAGAGCTATTACAATACATTTATCAGAACAGCCAAAATAAAAACCAGTGGTAACACCGAACGCTGGTGAGGATGTGGAAAGCTGGGTCTTAGGATGCATTGCTGGTGGAATATAAAATGGTGCAGCCACTTTGGAAAGTAGTTGGGTAAAATAGTTCTTAACAAGCTAAACGTACTCTTACCATGTGACCAAAGAGTTGGGCATCGATCCTAGAGGAATGAAAACTAATGTTCATTCAAAAAGTTGCACAGGATTGTTCGTGGAAACTTTCTAGTAATTGCTAAAGACTGGAATGACCTATGTCTCTCAACTGGCGAATAAACAAGGGGGTATTCCCATACTGTGGGTTACTATTCAGCAGTAAACAAAGAACAATTACTGATGCAAGTAACAACTTGGATGGATCTCAAAGGCATTATGCTAAGTAAACAAAGCCAATCTCAATACATCCCACACTGCATGTTTCTATTTATAAAGCATCCTCCAAATGACGAAATGAGAGATGGAACACTGATGGTGGTTTCCAGGGCCCAGGGACGGTGCAGAGCAGGGAGAGTGTGGTGGGAAGGAGCAGCATGAGTGTTCTCTGTGGCATGGGGCACTGTGCACAGGTGACCAAGTGACACAGAACTACATGTGTCCATCATACCAATGCCAAATTCTTGCTCTTGAAATTGTACTATCATTATGTGTGATGCAACCATTGGCAGAAACTGAGTGAAGGACACATGGGACCTCTCTGTATTATCCTGGCAACTTTGTATGAATTTATAACCATTTCAAAATGAAATTTAAAAAGGTGTGCTCCACAATTTCAATCAAGAATGTAATTCTTTTCGTATTTTGTGCTGTAATAGGTCTATCTCTGTACCGTAATAGGGCCATGGAAAAGGGAGAGAGATTCATTTGGCCAGGTGAAAAAATAACTAATGTCTTTTCAAAGCTACTAATCACAAAGATACACATAACTTTTAAAAAAAAGTAATGACCTTAACATGAAATTCATTATCCAGTAAGATATTCTGAGTCTTCAGGTCATGATGCAGTAGAGGAGGGTTCATATTATGCAGGTAGTTCACGCCCAGTGCGATTTCATGCAGGATGCGAAATCTCAGCGGCCAGGCGACTTCCGGATATTCTGTTTTCTTCATATATGCAAGAAGACACAAAACCAAAATCAGTGGCCAAATTCCCATACATTCACACTTAGGAATTAAATATTCCATGAGAAATACAGCATAAACTAAGGTCAAAACATATGCTCATTTTTTTAACATAGTAACAAATTTGACATCAACATCCCTGTATCCTATTTCCCTTACTTTTTAGAGAAAATAACTTCATAGTGTTGATATTTATTCCCTTTTAGTCTATATTGGTAATGTAACTACATGATATCGGTTCTTCTTTTTTCAGTTGACACAGTTTCAATTACTTTTTAATCTATGTAACACTCACACAGGTACACACATACCCACACCCATCTCCCCATTTTGTGGCTTATAGCAAGTAGACTGTGCACACACATGAGCACACACACACATAATTGTTTCTAGTACATACCAAACCATTTATTCAAATTAATGTTTTAATTTTCTGATTAATATAAAACTAATCATTATACCCATTAAAAAGTATGACCATATTATATTTATTAACTAAGCATTAATATCTCATACTTTTATTCATATAATTAATTTATTTGCATTTCAACTTGAAAAATTAGCCTTGAATTTTGTTTTTAAGAAGGAGACAACGTTCATCTTTATTTATAAAGCATATATAATAAAGACATTTAAAGCAATGTTTTATATTTCTTGGTACTTACAAGTGATATCCATTTGAACTTTCATTAAATCAATTCCGAACATAAAAATTAATGCAGAACCTCAGGAAAATGAGTATACTCAGAAAAATTAGATACTTTGGGAAGATTCTGCAGTGACTCATCAGGCACCATGCCACTGGGCATATTTTTCTACATGACAGGAAGCAGTATGCTTCTACTGAAAGCTCCAAACTGTTCTTGAGATTTTTTTTTTCTGCAAATGGATCAGCTTATAGTTCAGTGATCACCTGGCATGAAAGTGGGTCAAACTTTTGCGCTTACACTGTATTTTGACTTATTTCAGCAATCTTTCATGAGGGTGGGGAAGGGTGCTTCAAGACAAACCCACCCTAATAATGCGATACAGGAAACCAAAAGAAACACAAATACTCATGTCGCACATTAGTTCCTCCGATATATACAGAGCCCCGTCCACTCAGCAACTGAATCTTTTACTCCATAAAAAGGTAACTTTCTAAAAATTATGTAGGTGACAGGAGGAAGAAGTCCTCTCTGCACATGTGTGAAATGGGAACTTCTGGTCACGGCTCCTTCCAGGAATTAGCAGTCCCCTGTGGAGGCTCTAGGATTCTAGAGGCTCAGACCTGGCTGCCAGAATATCTACTGGGTGCTGGGGGTGGGAAGTAAACATTAGAATTCCTACTTATTTCTCAAAAAGAAACTGTGCTGGATTAATACTTGCATCTTGGCTGCAGTGGTAGTTACACACACCTCACACACCCACCCCATCCTGCTTGAGATGCTCACACCATACACAGAACGTGATGTGTCCCAGGCAAAGAGGAAGTCCCTCCCCGAGAGGCTGTGCTGCCAGCAGCTCCCTTTCTCCCATCAGAACACTGATGGATAGGGATTTAGGATTTTACCTTATATTACCAAGTTTTAACTAAACCAACCTCGCTAAATAGACTGTTGTTGTTTTTTAATATATTTTTATTGATTTCAGAGATGAGGGAAGAAGGAGAGAGAGATAGAAACATCAATGATGAGAGAGAATCATTGATCAGCTGCCCCCTGCACGCCCCCTACTGGGGACCGAGCACACAACTTGGGCATGTGCCCTTGACTGCAATCGAACCCGGACCCTTCAGTCCCCAGGTTGATGCTCTATCCACTGCTAGGGCTAGCTAGACTGAGCGTTTTTGTTTTTGTTTTTTTAAATATATTTTATTGATTTTTTACAGAGAGGAAGGGAGAGAGATAGAGAGTCAGAAACATCGATCAGCCACCTCCTGCACATTTCCTACTGGGGATGCGCCCGCAACCCAGGTACATGCCCTTGACCGGAATCGAACCTGGGACCTTCCAGTCCACAGGCCGATGCTCTATCCACTGAGCCAAACCGGTTTCGGCATAGACTGAGCGTTTTAAAAAGAGAAACTGCAGGTTGGAGATCATACCAACTCAAGCAAACAGCCATAGATGCATACACATATTTTGAGAATGAGGATCCCCAAATTTGTTTACTGATGGGATTCACAATCAAAGCCAGAGTAACTGGTACCTTGAGAAAAAAAGTAAATAGCTCACACCACTGTCAATCATGGAAAAGCCAATGCATCTGGCACTCAGAGATAGATTTATGTGGCCTAGTAATTCAGGATTTTATGAACTGGTACTATTGACATTTAGTTTGAATCCTAAATTGTCTTTAACATAATATAAAATCTGACCTGTGGACAGTGGACCATGCAGTGTGCCCTTTACCTTCTCTTTCTCTTATGCCTACCTGATTATACACGTGGAGAGTGGAATTCAGTGTAGAACACAGTAACCTAAGCAAAAGAACCTCTATTCCTTAGCAGACAAGGCCTGACTTCACATTATTCTTAACAACACAAAAGAAGCCATAGATGGTGAAACTTTAGCACCACGTTGTTTTTCATTATTCTTATTGTGATTCATCCATATTTATCCCCAAATAACCAAAGCACTTTATAGCTTCATTAACAGAATTACAGCCACTGAAAATGTACAACACTTACCCTATGTAGGAGTTCATTTAATGATCCATTTGGCATGTATTCAGTAACTATTCCCAAAAATTCAGGCTCATTGCAAATTCCCAAAATTGGAAGAATGTAACTAAATCTAGCTTTGTGTAAAATTTCAGCTTCTCTTAAGACATCATTTCTTTCACTAAAGAAAAAAAAAGCATAATTATTTTAAAGTAATGGAAAATACACAATTATCATGCCCATGATATTAAGTTAGCCTGGACTTTTTCAGTAATCAGCTTTTGACTTCTTGTAAATTATGCAACTCTCTGTCCTTTAGTTTCATCATATTTAAAGTAGGGAAAACACCTACCCTGTATAGTCTACAGACCAAAATAACTTCTATAAGCCACTGACAGAAAAAAGTGCTACGCCTAGGCTATCATTATGATACTTTTCTAGGAAAAGGAAAGAACACTATGGGTAAGTTTATAAAGTCTATAGTATTAGAACGATTGGTGTGTGAACTAATTAAACTATTAAATTTATGTTGTATTAAAACAATCAGATCTGATTCAATTATATTAAATTTATAGTTGCATACCATGTAATATTTCCCCAAATATCCTGACTATTGAGACATCTCAATGTAGATTTAAATAACGAGGTACTAGCTGCATGAGGGCCAATGCTCCTGAGGAATTATCCTCTGGGACCCAGGAAGAGACCACTGAGAGCAGGTGAGTGCTTCTAACAGATGCCTGGGCGGGGTGGGGGGGGGGGGAAATCAGGGTCCAGGTCCATTTGCTTATTCTTACATAAAACAAATAAATATGGAACCTTCATTAAGAATAAAAAGTGCTCAGCATTATGGAGAATATAAAGATGAAAAAGAACACAGTCTGTGCTCTCAAGCTGCCCGGAAATCTTTTTAAAGAAAAATAAATACTCATTGTGGTTTTGATTTGCATTTTCCTGGTGGTAAGTGATGTTGAACACCTTTTCAAATACCTGGTGGTCAGTGTATGCCTTTGGATGTGTTAATTATCTCGATTTGGTAACATTTCACAATATATGTATATCAAATCATCATGCAGTATACTTTAAATACCAGTCATATATATATGCAGTCCATGGACCATACAGGATGGTGGTCCTGTAGATTGTAACGGACCCGAAAAATTCCTATGGCTTAGTGACACTGCAGCCATCCTGAGGTTTAACCCTCTGCTGTTTTATACAGTAACATGCTGCACAGCTTGTAGCCCAGGGGCAATGGGCTCTGCCATGCAGCACAGGTGAGCAGCACGCTGCCCCACCAGGTCTGTGTAAGTGTCTTTCTGATGTTCGTACGACAACAGAATCATCTAAGGATGCATTTCTTATACTGTATCCCTGTCATTAAGTGGCACACGATTGTATACAATTATATTTGTACTAGAGGCCCAGTGCACAAAAATGTGTGCACTCGGGGGCGGGGGGGGGGGTCCCTCAGCCTGGCCTATGCCCTCTTGCAGTCTGGGACCCCTCGGAGGATGTCCACCTGTTGGCTTAGGCCCACTCCCTGGGGGATCGGGCCCAAGCTGACAGTCAGACATCCCTCTGGCAGCCCAGCAGTCCTCAGGGGATGTCCACTTACCAGCAGGGAGCAGACCTAAGCTGCAGTTGGACATCCTTAGTGCTGCTGAGGAGGCGGGAAAGGCTCCCGCCACCACCACTGTGCTGGCAGCCATCAGCCTGGCTTGTGGCTGAGCAGAGCTCCCCCTGTGGGAGCGCACTAACCACCAGGGGACAGCTCCTGCATTGAGCGTCTGCCCCCTGGTGGTCAGTGTGTGTCATAGTGACCAGTCATTGCCAGTCGTTCTGCTGTTAGGGTCAGTTTGCATATTACCCTTCTATTATATAGGATAGAGGCCTGGTACACGGGTGGGGGCCGGCTGGTTTGCCCTGAAGGGTGTCCCGGATCAGGGTGGAGGTCCCACTGGGGTGCCTGGCCAGCTTGGGTGAGGGGCTGATGGCTGTTTTCAGGCTGGCCACACCCCCTTTAGGGTAGGGGGTCCCCAATGGGGTGCCTGGCCAGTCTGGGTGAGGGGCTGAGGGCCGCTTTCAGGCTGGCCAAGCCCCCGGCGATGGAAGCTCCCAGCCTCTCCTTTTTTTCTTTTCTTTTTTTTATTCTGAGATTTATTTACCTTCTATAATTGAAACTTTGTAGCCTTGAGTGGAGCTCAGAGCCGGCCAGGGCGGGTGAGAAGCTTGGCTTCCTCCATCACCAGGGGCAAACCAAGCCTCCTACTCGCTCCAGCTCTGTGGCCACAGCCCGCTGAAAGCAGGTATCTGGGGTTTATTTATCTTTTATAATTAAAACTTTGTTGCCTTGAGTGGAGCTCAGAGCTGGCCGCGGCAGGTGGGAAGCTTGGCTTCCTCCATCACTGGGGCAACCAAGCCTCCTGCTCACTCCATCTCCGTGGCTGCCGGCCGCCATGTTGGTTGGGTTAATTTGATAATAGTCGCTCTGATTGGCTGGTGGGCGTGGCTTAAGGCATAGCAAAGGTATGGTCAATTTTTATGTTTGTCTTTTATTAGTGTAGATACAATTATTCATTAATAAAGTTAAAAATAAGGAAAGAAATTTAAAAAGAAAAATAAACACAAAATATAAGGCAATTATTCATTAATAAAATTAAAAATAAGGAATTTAAAAAAATTAAAACTTATAAGGCAGATGTGATTAGTGCCACACATATACAAACACACACACATAACTAAATGAATAAATAGAGGACTGAGGGAACACAGAGAAAAGATAGGAAACACTGAGTCACTAGTCTTCAGAGAGGTGGATTTCAACTACACTTTATGAATGGAGAGAATCTCAGCCTTTGGAGAAAGGGCATCTAAGGCTCATGTGGCCTCCAAGATGAGAGGGACCTTGCCTTTTTCATCTGTGAATCCCCAGGACTGGACCAGTGCCTGGCACTAAGTAGAGGTTTAATAGATAAGCAACAAATGTATTCAAGGAAGTTAGAGCGAGGGCTCAGTTTCCTGTGAATCAGGCCGTGTAGCAGTGGTGAAAAGGGTGGAGGTGACCAGGGCAGCAGGGCCATGTCTCAGTCTTAAAGCCGGATGAGGGCGTTGACACTTTATTTGCTAGTCTCTGAGTTGTGAATGCAGGTTTTTAAGCAGAGAAATGACATAAGCAGAACCAACTTTTAGGATTCACTGGCAGCAGGATGTAGGATCAGCAGAAAGAGGTAGAGTTTGAGTCAGGCGTTAGCTACAATACTAGTTAAGATGTGGAGCAATGTAAGCCTGAAACTATAAAGGCCACAGTGGAAATGGAAAGGAAAACATCAGCTGACTAGGATGTCCAGGCTGCTGTGGTGGTGACTGACTCTGAGATGAAAAAAAAGAAAGAAAAGGAAAAAAAGAAAGAAAAGAAAGAAGAAAGAAAGGAAGAAAGAAAGAAAGAAAGAAAGAAAGAAAGAGTAAGTTAGTTAGTTGAAGATGCCATCAGTGTTCACCCGGGATGAATGGGTTGGTAGCAGCACTAACAGAAGAGAACCATGGCAAGAAGCCTGCTAGGTAAGTGATGGTGATGAGTCTGTCACCAGGCTCTGCAAGAATGGCTGTTGCAATAAGAAAAGCAGCAGACCTTCCAGACCAGATAATGAGGCCTGCTTTAAAAATAAACAAAGAGAAGAACAAGCCAAAAACCTTAGTCATTTATGTTTTGAATAAATGATTATATATATATTTACATGTTTAAAATTGAAGACTTGGAAGAGGACACACCCTTTTCTTCAGCCACTTTATATCCCAACTGTGAAGCAACCAATTAAATCAGTTTGTGAGACCAGTTTTAATTAAACCTACATTCCCTACGTTAAAACAGTTCTGTATTCCCAACAAAACAGTTACTGGGCAGGACGCAGGCAGGGAGATGGGAGATGGGATCGACCTGAGACTCCTGGACACTCTGACAAAGAACCACAGACAGACGAGCACCTGGGGGAGTCTCAGTCATGCGGGGGAGTCTCGGTGGCACTGCCCTCCTCCCAGGGTGGGTATGCGGTATTCTTCCTTCTACTCTGCCCTACTGTGTGTCAGCCACTTCACAGGCACTATCATAGTAGATCACCCCTAAAGGTGGGTTCATTATCCCACTGTACTCTGAGGGCTCTGAGGCTCCAGTAGACTCATACTTTTCTAGAGGTTACACCAAGAGCAAGTGGCAGGGTGGAGTCAGATTTGAATTGCCCTCCTGGGACTCTAAAGCCTGTGTGTGATCAGAGAAGAAGGGAGATTCTTAAAATCAGGTTTGGGGAATTTTGAGTGAGTGGGAAAACAGAAAAAGCCAAAACAGTTTAAAATAGGGTTTTATATTTTTAAACATAAGACTGTGAAATACAGCTTCTATAGACATACCACCAAAATTACCAGCCAAAAAACTATGGCGTCTACAGGGTGTTTGAAGAACCAACCGGACCCATCTACTCATCAGGCGTTGGGAGAGTGTTGGGGACAGAAATCAGGTGATGGAGAAGGACTGACCAATCCCTAAACGCAAACTGGTTTTCTTTCCAGTGATCCCAAAGCACATGCAGACATCACCCAGCCCGGAGCCCGGAGGTCCACGCCTGCACTGTCCGCGCTCTAAGCGAGGCAGAGCCCGCGGCCGCCTCCACAGCCCGGCCCGGCCCAGACTCTGCAAATCCTCCGCTGATGTCCCATCCCAGGAGGCAAGTGGGAGGGAAGCTCGTGATGCCTGCGTCCCACAGTCTCATGGCGGCTTTGATGACAGTTAGTTTCCTACCCACTGAGTGGAGAGTTTTAGGTGATGAAAAGTGTGAGTGGGGAAGGAAAGGGAACTCCCTCTTCATTCCTTGGCCTCAAGTGGCACAAACTTTCATTAAAACCCACGCGGGAGGCTGTTTGCGGTAGAATAACTCTAACGGGGCCTCGGCGCTGGACCCCACGCATCGGCAGAGTCCACTGCACAGCACACCCACCCCCCACCTGCACGCGCCGGCCGCGGTTACCTCCGCGCACTCGGCCTGAACTGGCAGAAGCCACGGCCACACCCAGTGTTGACGAGGCCGGGATCCGCGTGAGCCGGGAGGGAACCGCCTTCGGTGTCGCAGGCCTCCCGTGAGCGAGACCTGGGCCTGATACCAGGGCAGCCGGTACGGGCCGCCCGCGGGGCCGTGGGCTCGGGGCCGTGGGCTCAGCAGGGACCGGACCGCTGAGCAACGCGGGGTCGCGGCTGCGCGTGGCTGCAGCGCTTCTGGAAACAGAAACTAGTCCCGCTTCCCCAAACCATGCTCGCGCATCGCCCTGCGTCGCGGGACATGCGGGCGTACCGCGCTTCCGGTCGCGTGGGAGTCGGGTCCA